TGTGCACTTATCTATCTGTTTTTGTAAAGCTTTATGGCGCCTGATGGCATCCCTTTCCGAAGTTTTAGAATTCCCTTTAGCCTGCTTAGGTTTTATGCTGAGATTTGGCTTTGACCTTCAAGGATGAGGTCTGAGAGCTGCTACCGTCTGCCATTTCGATTGAAGTTGGAATTGCAGTATGCTTGTTATGCAGTGCAATACTGTGAAGGCGGTTGGCAGGCCCCGGGGCCTGATCTGAGGACAGACCGGTTGCCCTGATGATGCTTCTATTGGCCCCTTTCCTCTTTTTTTTCTTTTTTGAATAATACCTATCTATAATGAGTCATATCTCAGTAATAATATTTTATTGATATTAAAATATTATACTGAAAATTATTATTATTATTACCACATGTATGTATGTATGTGTGTGTGTGTGTCTCTCTCTATATATATGTTTTCTTAAGTTTTCGCGGGTACTTACATGCTAGAACTTTAAAAGCACAACTATAATGACATGGGAAAATATCCGCGAAAAATTGAGAATGTATGTATGTATGTATGTATGTATGTATGTATGTATGTATGTATGGCATTCAGCTTTGTTCAAGTGTTTTCCCATGTCATTGTAGTTGTGCTTTTAAAGTTCTAGCAATGTTTCGGCAGAATCTCGTCTGCCATCATCAGGCTTCTGTATAGTGTTCATCTGTGAGTCAGATTTTTACAGTGGTTTCAGATTTAAATTTGGGGCAGCCTATTGCTGTGCCAGAATGGTTTTTTCTTCATCCTGATTGGCTGGGAGTCTTGGTCTGTGTTTATTGGTCTTGGAGTTTGCTGTGTTCTGCTTGATTGGTGTTTCTAATATCTTCTGTCTGTTTTATGGCTCTTTTTGTATCTTGATTGGCTGGCAACTTTGTGTTACTTTATTGGAGGCCTTTAGTGCAGCTTGGCTCCAGGTAAATGGACGGCTATCATTAGTTAGGAAGCTAGGTTTCATCTGGGTGCCTGGTTGGGGTGTGTTTGAGCTGGAGGTACCAGGGGGGATCTGTTTGTGCCCAGATGTTTGCCTGGCTTGTGGTGTGGAGATTTTTTTGTTTGTGAGTGCAGGCTTCCAAATGATTGACAGTCTGGTGGAATCATCTCTTCTATTCATGCTTTCTGGTCTTTTTTCAATCTCTATGGCTTCTCTGATAATTCTGTGGCTGGGGTTTTCTATAGTGGCTAGGGTTTTGGTGCCATTGAAGTTGATGCTATGACCTGTGGCTTTCACGTGTTAGACTAGTGAGGAAGTGTGTTCCAGCTTTTTGACTGCATTTTTGTGTTCATCCAGGCGGGTACTTATTCTTCTATTAGTCTGTCCAATGTATGTGGCCGGGCATGATGCACAGGGGACTTCGTATATGCCTTGGTTTTCCAGGTCAATTTTATCGTTGGGGTTTCTAAGGATGGCTGCTATTTTTCTGTCTGTTTTGAAGGCAGTCTTGATGTGATGTCTGTGTAGTATCTTATTGATTTTGTCTGTAGTACCTCTTATGTAGGGCAGGACAGCTGTTCCATAGGTCTGTTCATCTTCTGGGTCTCCATTATGTCTCAGTGTGTTTTTGTGGATCAAGCCGGTGATTTTGCTTTTGTGGAAGCCGCTGGCTGTCAGTACTTTAGTCAGGGTGCATAGTTCAGTCTTAATGTGTGTCTTGTCTGCCAGGCGTTTGGTTCTAGTAATTAGTGTTTTAGCCACGGAGCTTATCTGTGCTGGGTGGTGGTGGGATTGGGCGTTGAGGTAGCAGTTAGTGTGTGTTTTCTTTTGGTATACGGTGTGTCCTAGTGTGCCATCAGTTTTTTTGTAGATTAGTACATCTAGGAATGGTAGTTGTTTGTTTGTTTCCATTTCCATGGTGAACTTGATTTTGGGGTGTGTGCTGTTTAGGTGTGTTAGAAAATTGTTTAGATTTTCTTTTCCATGGGGCCAAATCACAAATGTGTCATCGATGTATCTTAACCATAGTTTGGGTTTGTGGATGGCATTGGCCCCATGATAAGGGTACAGGCCTTCAACAGCTTCCCTGCACAGGCGGACACAGGCCTAGGTGCTCGCTGTTGTGCCGTGTGTGGGTTGATTGGGCTGTGAGGGTTAAGCCAACAATTTAACCGTAAGAATAGCCTTGAATGTAGAAAAAAACGAAGACAAGGGTATAATAGTCCTCAATATTTCTGAAAGGAACCTCTGCTCGGAACAGAGTTACCTCACACAGCACGAAATGGAATACAGGCGTGTGACCACGAGGTCTTGTAAGAAAAGATGGCCTCCGGCCGTTAATCTTTTGGTGCTCTCCCCAGCAGCAAACTCCCACCGTGTAAAGGAATAGCCTCCGATGGTTTTTCCTATGAGGCTAAACGGCGGGGAAGGGTGGAAGGTACTAAGTATCTGAATCCTCCACCCCAAGTCGCATTCAGAGGGGGAAGGAAAGCGATATGACTCTGTTGGGAGCAAAGAGCTCACGCCGCTGTTCGGGTAAAGAAACTCTGTGGCAATCGGTCGGAATGGCAGGGGTAGAAAGATCGGTTGTGGGGAGGGGGCGTGGAGCAGCGCCGAAGCCTCCCACCGCTTTGGGGCGCGAATTGGCGCTTCCCTGAAATGCGAGCGATCTCTGCAATGCGAGCCAACGTCGAGAGATCGCAATGGGATTAGAAGACTAAAGATAAGCTGATTAACTTTCAAACCTGCTAGCAAGGAAAGAATTTTTCCTGTTTCGGCCAAGGAAGAATCACAAGCACTGCCTATCTCTCACGAGGCTGAGCCAAAACTGGGGAACGCTGGGGAGGAGTCCTGTGGAGGAGGAGGAGCGTTCCACAAATTAAGCCCAGCCTAGACATGCGGAGACTGAAGCACCTCCCGCTACTACTGGATGCTCTGAACAGCTCATGGGAGAACATATTTTACTTAGAAGCTTCAACGCTGCCACATTTAGTGCCTGGGAATTTGGGAGGGGGGATTTCATAGAACGGGGAAAGTTTAGACACAACAACATTCTTCTTCTGAGTCAAGGACAAGCCATCCTGCACCTGGAAAAGGAGCGGTTGGAGGAATGTCTCCAGTTGGACCATGCGATGGACGCAGCGCGTGGGGTTTGGATTTTCAATTACGAAGGGAAAACCCGGAACTCTCAGATTTGGGTTTCCCCAGATGTGTCAATATGACAACTCTAATAAAACGGAACTTTTGAGAAAATGCTTGTCTCGGAGTTTGTTGTGTTGGGAGTGTGTTACTTGGAACGCTGACACCTGGCCGAAGTATTTGATCTTCAGCTTCAGGATCTGTCCTTCCAAGGAACTGTCAGGTTTATTTTTTTTTAAGATTGACTGATTGGATCTCCTTGAGGTCCAAGGGATTCCCAAGAATCTTCTCTAGCCTCACAATTTGAAAATATCGATTCTTCGGTGCTCAGCCTTCCTTATGGTCCAACTCTCACAGCCATACATCATTATCTCTGGGAAAACCTAATGCTTTTGACTGTTTGGCCTTGAGAAAAGATGAGGCAGGCAAGATGTCAGGTGGGAGGCAACCATGATACAAGGGACCGTACATTACAGGAAGGCCAATTGCGGTTAACTGCGAGGAAGTTTGCTAATCTGAAGGGTAATTTAAAGAGTTCAAAAAGCAGAGAATCCTGTGTCAGGAATGCTTTGATCTGAATTCCTGGACAGAGTTAAGGAGTGGGTGTTATCATCTCAACAGTCCAGCCCCCATTGATGAGAAAGTTTTCTGTAGACCCTAGTTCCTTTTCCGAGAGATGTTGTTGAAGCTGGTTTTGGCGTGGTGTTTCTTGACTTCGTGGGAATAATTCTGGAGAAACCCTCCAAGTCATGTCAAATTTGTATTGTACTGGAACAAAATCTTCTGATTTAATAAGGGAGTGATTTACAATATTGTGAGAATCCCAGTGTCAGGAGAAGTACTGGCGGGAAAAGAAAATTCCTAAAACCTTTGAGGCGGAGTTTCCCCATTCCCAGGCCCCCAAATGGAGAAGAGATCCACCTAGAACGCTATGGACATTTCTACCCCTCCCCTAGAGGGGTGGTGAACCCCATTTCTGAGGGAGTCTTAAGCGCACTCAAACTATGCAATACTTTACATATTTTTCTTTCATTTTCTTTAGAGAAGTCAGTGTATTGTTACAGAGTGATGGATGTATAGGGGACCATACGGTACTTGGAATCTAAATGCCCCCATCTGGAAACATTTCATTTCAACGTTATCCGTGCTGTTCCAAAAAAACCACAACGCTTTACTACAAAATATTTTGCAGAATCTTTTAGTTTAGAATTATGTCTGCCTGCTTTTAGTCTATGAAAGGGTTTCAGCCTTTAATTAAGAATGGAGATCCCATTTTTTTGGTCTGATAATATTGCTGATATACGGTACAACAGCTTTTTTTCAGAATACGTAGCGTCGTTTTCATCCCAAAGGTGCTTTCTTAAGACACAACTGGATTTTACTGTTTTTCTTTGAAGATGTTTCGCTTCTCATCCAAGAAGCTTCTTTCACACTTATGGCCATTGCAGCCATCCTCATGGCCGTGGTCTCAAAACTTGGACGCTTGGCAGCAGGTTTCAGTGTCCTGGGGTCATGGGATCACACTCTGCAGCCTTCTGAAAAAGCAAAGTCAATGGGGAAGCCGGATTCACTTAACAACCGTATTCCTAACTGATCGACTGCCATGACTCACTTAACAACTCTGGCTAGAAAGGTCATAAAATGGGACAAAACCCATTTAACAACTGTTATCATTTAGCAACAGACATTCTGAGCTCAGGCTTTGATCGTAAGTCGAGGAGTATCTGGAAAGTATTCCTTTGTTCACAACACATGCCCATCCAGATCCTATGGAAATTCAAACTAATGTGACTTTGTGGAGAGTTTTCATTTAATTTATATTATAAGGACGGCAAAGGAAAGGAAAACAAAAAACCGGGTGATTCTTTGGAGACAGAATAGAAAGCCCCACGCAGATTCCATTATTAGAAAGTCCTTTTTAATTTTTCCATAATAAAGACAATAGGCCTTGTGGTACCTGGCCTGACTGCAAAGGTCATCATTAGAAAAAGATAATAAAATATTAACTCTGATTTAAATGCCATCTAGATTGACTGAAACAGACAGGAACACTTGAGTGGCTCAAATATCTGGAGAATGGTCACGTTGAAGACCGTGCGGCTTCTCTTAAGAAAGGGGTGGGTTAGCCTGGAGGATCCGACTTAAAACCATGTGCAATTTTGTTGTTCCTCTTCCACACGGAGCAGCTGGTGGCAGCCGTACAGCCTGTAGAACCCGTTGAACAGTTCACGTGTTCACTCTACGTGCCTTTCACGGGGGGATCTGGCCAGTAAGATATGGCCAAATGTCTTCTCTTGGTGTCCGCTTGGCATTCTGGGCACTTCTTGGCAAGCTGTGTGGAGAAACACAAGAGCAATCAAAATATGGCATTTTACCTCAGGATCCTTGTGCAAAAGCTGTTTTCGGCCATCTTTTGAGGCCTTATCCTGTTTAAAACAGTGACCTAAAGTCCAAATCATTTGTTTGTATTCTGCCTTTATTATTTTTATAAATACCTCAAGGTGGCAAACGTATCCGACATGCCTTCCTCTTCCTATTTTCCCCCAACAACCACCCTATGAGGTGAATTGGGCTGAGAGAGAGAAAAAGGCCCAAAGAAGATAGATAGAAGATAGAATTCTTTATTGGACAAATGTGATTGGACACACAAGGAATTTGTCTTGGTGCAAATCCTCTTGGTATACATAAAAGAAAAGATTCATTCATCAAGAATCAAGAATCATAAGCTACAACACTTAATAATAGTCACAGGGTACAATAAGCAATCAAATCATACTAGGAAACAGTCAATATAAATCGCAAGGGTAGAAGTGACAAAGTTACAGTCATACAGTCACAAGTGGGAGGGGATGCGTGATAAGGAGTGATGAGAAGATTAATAGTGATAGTAGTGCAGACTTTGTAATAGTTGGACAGTATTGAGGGAATTGTTTGTTTAGCAGAGTGATGGCATTTGGGGAAAAACTGTTCTTGTGTCTAGTTCTGGTGTGCAGTGCCCTATAGCGTCGTTTTGAGGGAGGGAATTGGAACAGTTTATGTCCAGGATGTGAGGGGTCTGTAAATATTTTCACAGCCCCCTTTTTGACTCATGCAGTATACAACCACCCTGTGTAACCCAGTTGGCTTTTATGCCTAAGATAGGACAAGAACTCCCCACCTCCTGGTGATGGGCTCAGTCACCCACTTTGTCTTTCGTGCCTGAGGCAGGACTAGAACTCACGCTATCCTGCTTTCTAGGCTGGTGCCTTAATTGCTAGGCCAAACTGGCATTCCCACTTTAAATATTTGAATGTTGCGAAGATTGAGAAACGCTGGTTTAAAGAGGTAATGACGCAGAGCACTAAAGCTCTTGGAATAACAACACAAATTACACCAAAAGTAATTGGTTGTAATGATGAAACATTGTGGAAAAATTTACTTTGCTCCCAAGATCTGGCCGTGCATATATATATATATGCTAGGACATCACTGAGGAAATGAGCTATGTTTATAAAGAAATAAGATATGTAAACAAGGACATACTAAAACACTGGGAAAAAGATGGCAGATTCCCAAGATGTCAAAATCAACAAGGTCTCATTTATTTGTGGCATCCTTGCTACACTCTGAGCTGGTGGTTTGCTTGCAGGTATTTCTGTAGAACAGTAGAATCGGGCAATTGCAAACAAACTGCCAAGCTCTGCTAAACAAATAATTCCCTCAACTCTGTCCAACTATTTACTAAGCCTGCATTCCTATCAATCCTCTTATCATTCCTATCCTATCACCCATCCCTTCCCACTTGTGACTGTATGACTGCAACTTTGCTGCTTGTATCCTTATGATTTATATTGACTGTTTCCTAGTATGATTTCATTGCTTATTGTACCCCATGATTATCATTAAGTGTTGTACCTTATGATTCTCGACTCCTGACGAATGTCTCTTTTCTTTTATGTACACTGAGAGCATTTGCACCAAGACAAATTCCTCGTGTGTCCAATCACACTTGGCCAATAAAGAATTCATTCATTCATTCAAGTTCAGAAAGCAACAAGAACTCCAGAGTTCAACCCTGAGCTTAGAATAACAAGAGTTGGAAGAAGCCTTACAGGTCATCTTGCCCAGGGGACCTCAGGGACCACCAAACTCATAATTTTAGATCCCAGGGACCACTAACTGGTTCTGTGGGCATGGCCTAATTTGTGGGCGTGGCTTGGTGGTCATGTGACTGACTGGGCATGGCTTGTATGTAAATATTATCAATATTTATATCAATATTGAATTTTTTTATAAAAAAGAGCAACTTTTACCCCAAATCAGGCAAAGCAGGCAGGCAGATTGAGTTGCTCACCGAATCATTCAGTGATCTACTTGCCATTGGCTAGCTCAGTCTCTCAAAATTTGCTTGCCGTGAGTCTGCACTGAATAATCGAAAGTTCAGTCCTAAGGGAGGTTTGGCTGTGCTTAAAAGCAGAGCTAAAGATAGCAAGCAAGAAATCCAACCGGTTCCTGCTTCCTAGCTAATCTAAATCTCCTGGCACAGCAGAACAGATGATAGTCGGAAAAAGGAAAAATAGCAACTTAGTAGGCAAGTTTGCCGGGTAAGGAGTGAGTGGGCGCGGAGGTTTCCCGCGGGCCACGTGGTCTGCGCAGCCTTGTGTGTTCTGCGCAGACTGGATTAATTGCTTTGGGAGGGGGTGCTCTGGGGGGGTGAGATTTCTCTGCGGCCCACCAAAATTTTCTCACAGCCCACCAGTGGCAACCACTGATTGGCAACCACGGATCTAGCCCAACCCCGCCTTGCTCAAACAGGCGACCCTATGCCACTTCTGACAAGCGGCTATCCAATCTCTTCTTCCAAGCCTCCAGTGATGCAGCACCTACAGTTTCTGAAGGCAAGTCGTTCCATTGGTGGATTGTTCACATTGTCAGAAAATTTCTCTTAATTTCTAGGTTGGACCTCTCCTTGATCTGTTTCCCTCCATTCTTCCTTGTCCGGCTTTCGGGTGCTTTGGAAAACAAACGGATCCCCACTGTTGGGTGGCAGCGCCTCAACTATTATGAGACTGCTATTGTGTCTCCCCCGACCCGCCCAGTCCTTTTCATCAAACTAGACATACTCAGTTCTAGCAACTGTTCTTCACATGTTTTAGCCTCCAGGCCCCTAACCATCTTTGTTGCTGTTCTCTTCATTCTTTCCAGAGTCTCAATAATAACAACAACAAAAAGTCTAAACAAAAACAAAACACACACGTCTAAACCTTAAAAAAGCTATAGAGGTCCTCTCCTAATGGTTTCGTTTATTTAGCGATCTGACATGCATCGAAGGTGGATGCCAGAGTTTAAAAGTTAACGTTCAAAATATTTACTCTAATCTCATGATTAAACCACCGAAGGAGGATGACATTCATGGCATTTATCCTACGTGACGAAGCATGACATTTATCCTACGTGACGAAGAATGCATTCTGTAGCCTGGAAACCACAAAGAGGCCCTTCTTTCGTAGGCTAGAAGGACCAACAATAAGAGCATCTTCAAGACCACTTCTCTGGCAATCAGGCCAATTAACAATCAGGCTGGCTCGAAGTGGGAGAGGCAGAGAGAGGCTTTGTCCTTCAGTGATCATCAGGAAAAGGAATCTATTGGAGTGAGCAGCCATAATAGGTTTTCATTTAATAAACAGAAGAGCGTGTTTATAACTCAGGGTCGAACTGTGAGGTCCTTGGTACTCTATGAACTGGGCTACTTTTGGACAGACATTTCATGACCCAACTAGGTAACATCACAAGTGCTGGAAGGGAGTAAGGTCTGCAAAGGGAAGGAAAAGGAGGTGGGGGAGGACTGTGGGATCCCTCGTGCTCTGTGGGTTTGGTTATTTTCTGGCGGATGATTCATGACCCAAATAGATAACATCTTCAATGCTAGAAAGGAGTGGCGTTTGGCCCCTGTTTATATATTAGTGGCTTGCCCAATACCCCGATCAAGAAACTAACAATTCAGACAATCAAACAGGAAACAGCAGTGTCATCAAAGAACTACCAAGAATAGTTCCACCAACACTGATAGGGCAATAGCTCTTAGACTTATGTACCGTTTCACAGTGCCTTACAGCCCCCTCTAAGCGGCTTACAGGGTCAGCCTTTTGCCCCCAATAATCTGGGTCCTCATTTTACCCACCTAAGAAGGATGGAAAGTTGAGTCAACCTTGAGCGGGTGAGAATCGAACTGCTGAACACCTGGCAACAAGCAGTCAGCAGAAGTAGCCTGCAATACTGCATTCTAACCGCTGCGCCACCATGGCAAGCTGCTATATACAACTCTTCTCCCTTCTTGCCTGGTTGAGTCACGAAATGTCTGCAAGGCAACAACCAAATTCGGAGAGCACCGACGATTCCACAGTCCTCCTCCTCCCACTTCTCCTCCTTTCTGCAAACCCCACTTCCTTCTAGCACTGATCATGCTCCCTAGTTGGGTCATGAACTGTCTGCAAGAAAACAACCAAGCTCAGAGAGCACCAAGGACCTCACAGTCCTCCTCTTCCTTCCTTCCTTCCTTCCTTCCTTCCTTCCTTCCTTCCTTCCTTCCTTCCTTCCTTCCTTCCTTCCTTCCTTCCTTCCTTCCCTTCCCTCCCTCCTTCCTTCCCTCCCTCCCTCCCTCCCTGTGGTTAGAATACAGTATTGGAGGCTAACTCTGCCCACTGCCAGGAGTTCGATCCTAACCAGCTCAAGGTTGACTCAGCTTTCCATCCGAGGTCGGTAAAAAGAGGACCCAGATTGTTGGGGACAAGAGGCTGACTCTGTAAACAGCTTAGAGAGAGATGGAAAGCACTGTGAAGTCTAAGGGCTATAGAATATAAGTCTAAGGACTCTTGCTATTTAATAAATGCCAGTGAACACAGATCTTTCTGCATTTCCATGCAAGCACCTGGTGATCACTGCGGCTTGTACCAAGCAGACCGCTTGCTGCTTTTGGCACTAACTCCAACCTCCAGATACTTGTGTAAGAGCACGTAGCATTGTAGGAAGTTAGCGCCCATCCCTCTTCTAGCAAAATGAAATATTTTAGGACATATTAAAGAGGCAGAATATTTCCCTTAAATGAGAAGTAGGAACTCAGAGAGGCAGAACCTCAGCCCAGTCCCCTGCTACCTTTGTCAATGGGCCATTAAAGCCTCCGCCAGTCTATTCTACATAACAAAAGATAGGGTTAGGCCTCAACCCATCTCACCACATGGCACCTGGGAAGATCACACAGACAAAGCCAGACCAGAGGTGGTGAATTCAGCAGGTTCTGACCAGTTCTGGAGAACCGGTAGTGGAAATTTTGAGTAGTTCAGAGAACTGGCAAATACCACCTCTGACTGGAGATTTTACAGTACCTTTTCCCCTGCTACGCCCACCAAGCCACGTCCACGGAACTGTAGTAAAAAAAAAATTGAATCCCACCGCTGAGCCAGACCCCTGCCCACTGGGAGTCTGAGAGCCAATGCGATGCATTTCTTACACAGGAACAGGTGGGGCACAACAGAAGGTATAAAACCCAGGTACCCTTAGCATCTCGGCCTTTTTTTTGTCTTTCTTTCTTCACCCAACATCTTGAAGCAGGTGATCACCCTTTGTACGTTCAGGAGGCCCAACCCATGAGGTCCTGTCCACCATTAAACCTTCTTTCCAAGCAAGTTCCATGATTCCAGTGTTGGAACTGAGCCCATAATAATATTTCTTCCAACAGTGCCACTGGCCTACTTGTGAAATAGGATCTGTTTTATGCTACGCTTCACGGACAGCAACAACAGGATAAGGTGCTGACCTTGTGGCCGCCTCTAGTAATCGCTCGCCTTAACCAGGAGGCCAGGCCTGCCAAAGCCTTGCCCTCCCACGACACCCCCTCATAAACTAGCCTCGCTGTCAGGATTCCAGACGGAAGTTACTCCAATGAAATCATGAGTCTGGAGCTAAACTTGCACTTAGCTTGGTATGAAAAACTTTAGTAACAAAAGACCAACCAGAAGGAAGGAGATTGTTTGATCACATACCAACCTCTGTGGGTTTCTGCTTAATGATGATAAACATCACAGAGTCATTTGAGTGTAATGTTATGTCTACTTTGGCTTCCTGGAATGGCAGTCTCACATCTAAAAATTCAGGATAGCTTCTTGTGTGTGAAATACCTCACAAATCCCAAATTGCATCCTGTCAAGAAGCAAAGTAACCACTTGAGTTGTGGGTTGCTGCTTCCCTTCTTTGTGTCCAATCACAATATTTATTTACTGGGGAGGGGGGGGCCACAGATTTCCTGGCATCACCAAAGCCACTTTTATTGCCTCTGACCTCCCCCAAAACCATGATGTCTGAATCGCATCCCTTCCCAGAAAAGACCTGTCGCATTTTTTGCAATATGGTTACACCAACTTGAGGGTCGACGTTCCGTGTTGTTTTTGTTTCACTTGTTTTAAGGGTACAGATAATAGGTTATATCGGTGCTATTGCCTTGCAAGGCTTTCTACAACTAATCACTTTCTTCTGCGTAAAATGCCTGATGTAACCAAATGGATTCTGTCGGTGTTAGGTCAGAAGAGCAGCTAGCTGATTTTGTGGTTGAACAGGAAATACCCTATTTTTGCTACCACCACCCCAAAAAAACGCCTGGAATTGTCTGCGCGTCTCATACAGCGAATGTTGCCAAAGCCCCGCCCACCCACTGGCCCCCACCCTTCGGCCTCCCAGCCATTTGCCTCCTTGCAGCAAACAGCCTGTTTTAGCTTCAGCACCGCCTGATTAGCCCAAGCAGCTGATTGTCAGCTGGATCAGCCTCCCGATGATCAGCTGTTTCAGGCTGCATGGATTGCGACAGCCTATTGCCACCTCCGCACGCCCCGTTTTCATCCTCTGCACCCCATTTTTGGCCTCTGCGCGCCCCATTTTCCAGGTGGTGGGGATCAGAACGGGCAGAAAATGGGGCACGCGGAGGCCGAAAACGGGGTGCGCAGAGGCAGCAATAACGGCATTCCACCGACAATCAGCTGCTTGTGCTACTCAGGCTGTGCTGAAGGTGAAAGAGGCTGTTGGCTGTTGGCTGCAAAGAGGCAAATGGCTGGGAGGCAGAGGCAGATATTTTTTTCTTGTTTTCCTCCCCAAAAGCTAGGTGGGTCTTATACTTTGGAGCATCTTATACTCTGAAAAAAAAATATGCTCTTCTGACCTAACACTGACAGAATCCATTTGGTTACATCAGGCATTTTCTGCAGAAGAAAGTGATTAGTTGTAGAAAGCCTTGCAAGGCAATAGCACCGATATAACCTATTCTCTATACCCTTAAAACAAGCGAAACAAAAACGACACGGAACATCGACCCTCAAGTTGGTGTAACCATATTGCAAAAAATGCGACCGGTCTTTTCTGGGAAGGGATGCGATTCAGACATCATGGTTTGGGGGGAGGTCAGAGGCAATAAAAGTGGCTGTGGTGATGCCAGGAAATCTTATACTCTGAAAAATACAGTATTGAAGCCCAATAACAAGGTCAAAAGCACAATTTCTCAACCTTGGCAACTATATGGTGTGTGGACTTCAAAAAAAAAAAAAAAATTCCACACATTTTAAAGCTGTCAAAGTTGGGAACCCCCATTCAGAAGGCAAAATTAGTTGAGGCTGCTGAATTAAAGTTAAAGGAAAATGCAAAGTCAGCAGTAAAGAAGACATTGTTTTCGTCAGAGTTTAAGTGTCTCTTAATCTATATTATACTTCTTTGTCAGAGTGCTGATTCTGGCCTCTGAGGCTTAAAGTAGCGGTCTATTTAGTCATTCCTAATCTAGTGTCGAATTGTTGATCTCATCTCTCATGATGCCCAACTAACGTGCCTCCAACTGACTATTAATACAGACTAACTGCGCTAAGCAAAGCTCATACAGTTCTCTGGGCTTGATCGTTGCCACACAGCTACCTTGAGCCAAACTTAACCTGCCATGGATCACAACAAGCCTCTTGTCAGTGGCGTGCGATCACAATTGCAAGAAGACGCTCAAGTCACATACGAGGAAAGAAAATGTACCGTAAGAATCAACTGCCAAAACGCAGCAAGGGAAACTCTGCTGTGTTTTGAGAGCAGGCAAGAGGAAGAAGACTCTAGTGGTTAAGGCAGCAGCCTCGAAAGTGGGAGGTTGTGAATGCTAGTCTCGCCTTTAGGCGTGAAAGGTAGCTGGGTGACTTTGAGCCAATCACCAGGAGGTGGTGAGTTCTAGTCCCACCTTAGGCATGAAAGCCGGCTGGGTGACTTTGGACCAGTTACTCTCTCCTAACCCAACCCACCTCACGGCGTCGTTGTGGAGAAAACAGGAAGAGGAAAGCGGGTCGGGTATGTTGGCTTCTCCCGAAGTTATTTGCAAAAATGATAAAGGCAGGATACACACACACAATCAGCGGATGCAATTAAGACTAAAGGGAAAAATGAAAATGAAAGCTAACCTTCAAAGAATCCTCCCAACATTTGTTGCAACACGTGAAGGAACACTGCTGGCATTTAAAGGGCACACTGTGCTCCGAACCGCATTTAGCACATTGATAGCCACCTAAACAGGGGAAAGGAAAAAGAATTGAAGAAAAAAAAAGGGGGGGGAATTGGTGGAGTTTACTACACCCATTAGGGAAAAGAACGTAACCTTTTTGGCTGGGTGACTCTGAGCCAGTTGCTTTCTATTTCTTCTTTGTGACCCGGGTGCTCGATACAGACTTTAATCTGCATTGCCACACACGATCTTCAACCTTCCATCTGTAGTTCCCACGTATGAGGTAGTCCTCGACTTACAACCACAACTGAGCCCCAAATTTCCGTTGCCAAGTGAGACAATTCTTGCATGAGTTTTGCCCCATTTTGCAGCTTTATGGCCACAGTTATTAAGCGAAGCGCTCACTCCAGTTGTTCAGTTAGTAACTGAATCTGGCTTCCCCGTTGACTTTGCTTTTGGCAAAAGAGGAACACGCGGTTCTGGGGCACTGCAACAATTGTACACATGAGCCAGTTGCCAAGCAAGTGAATTTTGATCACATGACCATGGGGACACTGCAACGGTCGTAAGTGTAAAACAAAAATGGTCATAAGTCACTTTTGTTCAGCGCTCCTGTAGCATCAAACGGCCACTAAAGAAATGGTTGTAAGTCAAGGACTACCTGTAGTTGATAAGCTCTCTTTAGAATAGTGTTTCTCAACTTTGGTAACTTTATGAGTAATAGCCATAGCACTTAGACTTATATACCACTTCACAGTGCTTTATAGCCCCCTCTAAGCGGTTTACAGCTCCCAGAATTCCCCAGCCAGCCATGGATTCTGGGAGTTGAAGTCCACATGCCAAGACTGATTCACGCTTTCACCTACATTGGATCCTTCCCTCGCTCGCAGCTTGACAATATGTAACTACATAGCCAAAAAGGCCTTAAGAGTTGTTAACCTAATCCTATGTAGCCTTTTTCTCTGGCAATATCACACTACTAACTAGAGCATACAAAACATTTGCTAGACCAATACTCGAATACAGCCCATCAGTCTGGAACCCACATTACGTATCTGATATTAACACAGTTGAGAAAGTCCAGAAATATTTCACAAGAAGAGTTCTCCACTCCTCTACTTGTTGCAGAAGACCTTATACCACCAGACTCGAAATTCTAGACCTAGAAAACCTAGAACTACGCCGCCTTCGGTCCGATCTAAGTATAGTATATAAAATCATACATTGCAATGTCCTACCTGTCAATGAATACTTCAGCTTCAACCACAACAATACAAGAGCAAACAATAGATAAACTCAAGGTTAATCGCACCAAACTTGATTGCAGGAAATATGATTTCAGCAACCGAGGGGTCAATGTCTGAAATACTCTGTGGTTTCTTCCCCAAACCCCAAAAACTTTAACCTTAGACTGTCTACTATTGACCTCACCCCTTTCCTAAGAGGTCTGTAGGGGGCGTGCATAAGCGCACCAACCTGCCTACTGTCCCTGTCCTATTGCTTCTTTTTATTTTTCTTATATGTATCCATTTCACGTATTCATAACTCTGTTTATACTTATACCTATTATTTTGTAAGCGATTGACGAATCAAATAAATATAAGTCTAAATAACAGGGAGGGGTGTGTGTGGATGGAACGCAAGAGAGGGAAAAAGTATTCAAGCTTCCATACATTGCTGGTATCTCAAGGAGACACTGAGCAGATCCCCCTGGTGTAGTTGGCTGATTCACTTAACCAAAGAAACAGGGGGTGATTGATTGCTGGACGTTTCGGATTGCGGACAGCCCATAGGGAAAAGAGTGAATTCACTAGGCTTGCATTTGTGTGGGAAACCCAGAGTCGGTTTTCACTTTTTCTATGCCAACGTGATTTATTCAGTAAAAGTTTTATACACCTTTGGTAAAACAATCTCCTTGGAGATTCGCCAACTGGACACATCATAAAGGTTGGGAAAAATGGATTGAGAAGGAAGCAATTTAAACAAAAGATACCACCTACCGCCTATTGGGGAGAGAGGCAGGCTGCCGTCCTCTGTGGCTTCTCGTAATTTGCTGGGCTTTCTCTCAATTTCCGGCGGGTCTGGATTTTGGAGCGGCTGTGGGGCTTCATTCTTGGAAGAATCTGCGGTAAATATTACACAACCCACATCACTAAGAACAGACAGGGCTGGTTATGCAGCACTCACCGACACACTGGTGTGATACACGAACGACCTCCAAGTCAGTTTGTTTTACTTATTCCTTTTTTGTTTTGTTTTTTAAAAAGCAGAATTAAAGAAATCTTATAGGTGAAATCCATCAAGGTTTGACAGTCGTGCAGAATTCCGACTGACATGATTCCGTTTGTAACGCTGCCCTAAAAAGTTAAAGCACTTCTGATCTACAGAAATGAAAAAAAAAAATCAGACGGGAGCGCCAATTTCTTAAGTGTTTTTATAGCAACAGCATGTAGACCTACAGATACAGATTAACAGAGTTGGAAGGGACCTTGTAGGTCATTTAGTCCACCCCAAACCCCCCATATCCAAGCAGGAGAACCCCAGACTAGTGGTTCCCAAACTTTTTCAGTCCACCGCCCTTTTGGTGCTACAAACTCATCTTCAGTGCCCCCCACCCAGGGGTGGGATTCAAATTTCTCAACAACTGGTTCTGTGGGTGTGGCTTGGTGGTCATGTGACTGGCTAGGCGTAGTTTGGTGGTCACATGACCGGATGGGCACGGTTTGGTGGTCATGCGACCGGGTGGGCGTGGCCATGTGACTGGCAAACCAAATATAAGTGGTTCTCGCTTAATGGCTGGTTGCTTAGTAAGTATTCTAATTTATGACTGGCTTCCCCAGAGCTACTTGACCTGTGGTTGGACTAGATATCTCATTCACTTTCTCCTCCCTCCCTTTCTTTCTCATTTCCTCTCTCTTTCTTTCTGTCCCTTCCTTCCATCCCCCTTCTTTCTTTGTCTATCCCTTATCTTCCTTTTGCTCCCTTTCTCGCTCCCTTTTTCTTTCTTTACTTTCTTGTCTGTTCCTTCTCCCTTTCCCTCTTTCTCTTTCTTTTCTCTCTCTCTTTTCCTCTCTTTTTCTCTTTCTCTCTCCCTCCCCCCTCTCTCTTTCCTTCTTTCTTTTCTCTCTCTCTCTTTCTCTCATTCCCTCTCTCTCTATCCCTTCCTTAACCTACTATCTATTTTCTGACCAGGCAGGTGGGGCCTAATTTCCCCTTTCAGAGGCCCTGGCCCTTAATCTCCCCGTTTCCTCCCCCACGACCACCTCTTTCGTCGCTCCACAGCTGTGACTTGACCTTCCTCTCGTGACTGGCTGCCAGGGAAGACAAGCCAGGGCTGAGCCATGGTTGTCGCTGGGTTCCCTCCCAACCCATGTCACCCTCGTCACGAATGCCTGCACCCTTGTCACTAGACTGCAGCCGCACCGAGAAAAAAAAACATGCGGTGGCTGGAGGTTTTTTGCAGCAAAAAATTACCGACCTCCGGCTTTGCTTTGACCTCCGCTTCTCCAACGCACCACTGCGGCCACATTCTAGACGCCAGCCCCGCAGGTCCACCCCACTGAGCCCGCTGCACCGGAGAGACTTGCCCAAGGGGTGCAGCTGTCCATGGGGTGAGCCTGCATGGCTGGTGCCTTGAACGCGGTGGCAGCGGCATTTGGAGAAGCAGAGCAAAGCCGGAGGGCGGTAATTTTCGCTGCAAAAAAACTCCAGACACCGCATGGGTTTTTGTTTTTTTTTGGGTGCGGTTGGACTCCAGCCACATCAAAAAAACCACACAGCATCTGGATGCTTTTTGCAGCGAAAATTACCGACCTCTGGCTTTGCTTGCTCCGCTTTCCAATGCGCCGCTCAGGCTGTCAGCGATCGTTGTGCATGCAGGGAACGGAGGAGTGGGCCAAGAGGAGCAGAGCCAGCCAGGGGCCCGTTTTACAGGTACTCCAAACTACCAGGAACAGTAATGAACTGGTAGAATCCCACTCCTGAATTGAGCCCTGTGAGGGTCCCGCCTCCAGCACCCCCATCGCCTCTTAGTGCCCCCCCCGCCACCCCCCCCTTGCCTCTTAGTGCCCCCCTAAGGCATCCCACTGCCCCCCAGGGGCTGGTACCACCCACTTTGAGAACCACTGCCCTATACCATTTCTGACCAATGCCCGTCCAGTCTCTTCTTCAAAATCTCAAGTAATGACACTCCCACAACTTCTGAGGGCAACTTCTGTTCCATGGGTGGATTGTTCTCACTGTCAGTAAATTCCTCCTTATTTCCAGGTTGACTCTCTCCTTGTTCAGTTTTCCAATTTTCTATATACGGCTTCATGATGCCCTCATTAAGTGGTTTACAGAGTCAGCAAATCTCCCCCCAACAATCTTGGGTCTTCGTTTTACCAACCTTGGAAGGATGGTAGGCTGAGTCAAGCCTGAACCGGTCAAGATCGAGCTGCCGACTGTAGGCAGAATCAGCCCGCAAAGGCCGCATTCACTCCGCTACAACGGCTCCTTTATGGCTTTATGGAGTCACACAGATGAGATGGGCAGTGTAGAAATTTGATAAATAAATGAAATAATAAAGAGTATCGTGATATTCTTTTGCTCATCTGCCCATCCCATTCCTTCTTCAGATGGGGCTAACAAAAGGGGACTCTGTGTTGTGACTGATCCTGTCTCAGCCCAAATCCTACATCATATGCCTAATTTCTAGCCATCTCTACGAACCTACTTATGGTACTGAGAACAAAGGTAGTCCTCAACTTACAATCACAATTGAGCCCCAAATTTCTGTTGCTAAGTGAGACACTTATTCAGTGAGTTTTGCCCCATTTTACTACCCTTTCTTGCCACCGTTATTAAGTGAATCACTTCCTTTGTTAAGTTAGTAACACCGTTGTTAAGTGAATCCGGCTTCCCCATGGACTTTGCTTGTTAGAAGGTCACAAAAGGGAATCACATGACCCCAGGACTCTGCAACTGTCATAAATAGAGGAGTCAGTTGCCAAACATCTGCGTGGCTTAAGTGCTATTGCTAGGGCTATCCAAATTTTGATCATGTGACCACGGGGATACTGCAACGGTCCTAAGCGTGAAAAACAGTCGTAAGTCACTTTTTCCAGTGCCGTTATAACTTGGAACGGTCAGTAAATGAATGGTTGCAAGTCAAGGACTACCTACACGCAACAGTGCAGCACTCCCTTGTAGAAGCCTTGGGCTTTTTAAAACCCCGTTTCTATTTCACTAATTTGCAGTTGGAATTTGACTCATCGTTTTGAAAACTGCAAGCCATTCCAAGGTTTATAGCGTAATGTTCTTCTACAAATCCAGCTAATGAAACAAAAATGCCTGCTAAGGCTCATTCCAAAAGCTCCCCGGGGGGATAAAACTACTCTCCAACTATTCTGATCTTTTGCAATATATCTTTTCAAATTAAGGAAGCCATACGCGATGAGCGTGGAAGTGCCCCCCAAAAAGAAGCACTGAAAACCTGGTCTGGCAACTTTATGCTGAGTCTCGGCGTCTTCCAGAGTGCGGTGTGAAAGCTCTTTTTACCGTGAGGACTTTTTTCACTGTTCTCCTCGGGGAAAGCTGTGCCAGTGAGTTCTCTGCACATCTGTCGGAATTGTTCCTTGTGAGGAGGGCGGACGAATGTGGCAAATCCTACCAAAGAAAGCAAGCAGCAGGTCACAACGTGAGCCAATGACTTCCAAGGAAAATGAGAACATGTCTCATCTTCTCAGGGAGATTTTCATCAACCATCCAGGCCATGGTTGTCCCAAGGGTGGTTCCCCCCCCCCGCCCCCCCCCCCAAAGGCAACTGGAGTTTATTGGTGGTTTTCTTTGAACGTGTTCGGCTTCTCATCCTGGAAGCTTCCTCAGAACTGAACTGTTTTTCAAAGAAAACACCCAGAAAACTCAAATTGCCTTTTGGGGAAAGAAACAAAACCACCTTTGAGACAAAAAAAGACTTAATTTTTTTAAAATTAATTGATCAAAATAGACGAACAGAAACAAAAATGAAAACAGGAGGAGAGTTTAGGGGAGGAAAAAGGGAAGAAGAAAGGGTGTACGGTAAAAGGAAAAGAAGTTAACGAAATACAGCCTCAATCAACCTCTACATAATACAGGGAGTCCTCAACTTAAGACCACAATTGAGCCCAACGTTTTTGGTGCCAAGTGAGGTCTTTGTTTAAGTGAGTTTCGCCCCGTTTAGTGGCCTTTCCTGCCACCGTGGTTAAGTGAATCATGGCTGACTCATTTAGTGAATCTGGTTTCCCGTTTGACTTCGCTTGCCAGAAGTTTGCCGAAGGGGATCACACGAGCCGGAGACACTGCAACCGTCACAAATATGAAATGGTCATAGAGTCAGTTGCCAAGCATCTGAATTTGGACTGCATGACCGGTGGATGCTGTAGTGGTTGTGAATATGAAAATCGGTCGTAAGTCACTTTTTTCAGTGACGCTGAAACTCTGAACGTCACCAAATGAACTGTTGTTAAGTTGAGGACTACCTGTAGTACAGACTAATCTTTCCTGTTGAAGGGTAATAAATAAAAGAAATGTAGTAGAGTATATTATAGCATTAAGTAGAAAGTTACTCTGTAGGCATTTCTTATCTTGCTGTGGTAGAAAAAGATTTCCTTAACCTTTCGCTTGTTGTAAAACAATTATAACACATGCCTGAAATCAGTTACGTCCCTCTCCTGTTAAGTAAGACACGTGATTGTCTCATCTAAATCAATCTGAATCCATCTGTCTTCCTGGATTGATATGTTCCACCCCAACATCACCCCCTGAGAAGGTAACATACTTCTCTGGGATTGTAACTACCTCCACCTGGAGGAATCCACACCTTTGACGTATGCTGTTAATAGCCTCCTCAAGCGGTCAATTGTGATCAATTAGGTGAGCTGAGAAACCCTGATCAATTGAACAATTAGGAAGACGATGGGAGAAGAGATAATGGAAAGGTAAACACCGCCAGGAAAATATCTGTCTTTTGCAGGAAGATGTAAATCTAAGTTAGAGCGTTTTACAATGCAGTTAAAGTATATGACGCGACTTCTAAGAATCCTAAAGGTGTAAGACTTTAATTTCTCCATGTGCCTTATAGCCTTCCTCTCATATCTATCTTGTGTGTATGTGAGGATAGGTCTTACCCTAACCTTATTGATCTATTAAAGTTAGATTTTGTTCTTCAAAGCCTCTGCTTAAGTTCATTTTTTGGCACATCGTGGTCTTAAGTTATAGCCGGCTATAACAACAGCCTATCTAATCAGCAACATTCAGTCAAAAGTTTCATTTTTTCCCCTCCCACTTCAAGCACAAAGCCCAGAAGTGATTTCCAAGTGGGAACTAAATTAGCTGGATCCCTTTCTTTCAATTAGGACACTCAATTTTGTCATCTCTACTAATCCCAACAGTTTTTCTAGCGAGTCATCTCTTGCTAGGAATTAAAATCTCTTTCATCTCTTGCTAGGAATTAAAATTTCTTTCCATTTTTTCACATGGAGACTTCTTGCTGTTGTCAGCACATCTAACAACAAAGTTCCAAATTGTTTTTCTCAAGTTTTGTGTCCATTAAGGAAAGAAAAGCCTCTGGCTTTTATCTTTAGATTTGCTTTGAGAATCTTCTGTATGGATCAAGACTTGAATCCTACTCCCAGTATAAAAAACAAGGAACGCTTCTCGGGTGACTGGTTGCACCCCAGTTGTGAGGCTAACTGACAATGATCCTCTCCACAGTGCTCCCTAACCTATGCATTTAGGATTATGTAGAATGTGGTTCTGAGAGCTAGAGCCCTCGATTTACGACCACAACCGAGTCCAAAATGTATGTTGTTAAGTGAGGCATTTTTAAAAGTGAGTTTTGCCCCATTTTACAACTTTTCTTGCCACAAGCTGTTAAGGGAATCCTTGGACTTGTTAAATTAGTAACAGGATTATTAAGCGATTCGGGCTCCTCGTTTGACTTTTGCTTGTCAGAAGGTTGTAAAGGATAACCCCCCACAACGGTCATAAATATGAGTCAGTTGCCAAGCGTCTGAATTTGGATTGCATGACCATGGGGACTGCCGTCAGGAATGGGTTAAAACCACAGCATCCTCTCTTGGAAGGGCGAGGTCGAAATATGAAAATTTGAGGAGGCACAATGTGCGTGTCTCAAATCTAAAAGTTAAGATTTCACTCTCTCTCAAAGTGAAATCTAACTTTTCTGGAAAACTGGAGAAATTTCCTCCCCCGGGGGAAAAAAAAGACGTCAATCTGCCTCGAGGGAGGAAAATGGGGCCTTGATGAGAAAACAAGAGAGTTTCCTTGTTATAATTCGTAGGGCATGTGACAACATCTTTTCATTTCTTAATAAGAAACCGTATTATTAGAAGGAGGCCGAGATAAAAATCTTTTCATGAAACTAGGAAACACCCCAAATGTCAAAGAAAAAGATAGGCCGGGTCTTTACTAAGTGAATCAGCTGTTCCTGAGAAATTTAAAATGAAGCCATTTAAAAAAAACAATGAAATGGTCTTCCGAGAATAACGGGGAATTGTTCCTTGCTGGAGATCTCCCAACAGGACTTCAGGGCGGCTGCTGGTTCAAGAATAGTTTAGTGCAGGGTTTCTCGATTCACCTGCTTGGGCTGGTGAATTCTGGGAGTTGGAAGTCCACCCATCTTCAAGTGGTTACGGTTGAGAAATCCTCCTTTAGTGGAATCCTACGCTGGCTGGGCAACTGTCCAATTTTGGAAGAAGTGCCATTTGAAAAACCGCAGAGGGGTTCTCTTGGGCATTCAATGGATCTCGGACCCTGAAGCCTTGCACGGTCTTGCTAGAAGGTCCTTCCTATTCACGTAATCTATGATTTTAGCCACCTACAAGCTTGGCTTCTCCTCTAACAGGCACCTGAGCAGCCCCCGAAGTGCATAGTAGCAAGAGAAGGGGAGAGGGGAGGAACGACAGCTCATCATATGCGATTCCCTCCCAGTGGTTCTCCACAGCTTTTCAGAGAAGAAAACTAACCCAGCATTAACAATTAGCGGCTCTCCTTTTTCTGTTGTGCCTTTTGGACAGTAAGATTAGCAAGAGAAGAGAATGAATATCTGTAGTTTGGGGCCGAACTGGGGGTGGGGTCTCTGAGCCCGGTTGGGGTTTTTTTTGGGCAGATGTTCCATGACCAAGTCAGGTAACATCATCAGTGCTTGAAGGGAGTGGGGTGTGTGGAGAGGAGGAGGAGGAGGAGAATGGGTTTCTTGGTGCTCTCCGAGCTTGGTTATTTTCTTGCAGACATTTCATCACCCAGATTAGGTAACATCATCAGTGCTAGAAGAGAGTGGAGTTTGCAGAGAGGAGGAAGGGAGGGTTTAAGATCTTTGAGCTTGGTTGTTTCTTGGGGTGATCTTTCATTACCCAACTAGGTAACATAACTAATGCTAGAAGGGAATGGCAACTGTTCTCATTCCCTTTTAGCATTGACGACGATGACATTATCCATTCAGTTGAGTTTGACTCTTGGGAATTCTACAGGCCAGGTCTCTCCACATCTTCCTATCTTGCACTGTTTCTTTGAGTTCTTCTGTGCTCTGGTTGACGTCAACTTTGATGGTGTCCAGCCACCGTGTTCTTCGGGGGGCCTGGTTTAGTTTTACAAATAACTCTTCTCAACATAATTGCTTTCTCCAGTGAATTTCCCTGTATGACAGGGCCAAAGTAATTGAAGATGCAGTTTCGTGATTTTTTCCCCCCCCTTCCAGTGACATGTCTGGTGTTATGCGTTCCAGTTCAAGTCGTTGCTTGTTAATCAACTTTGCTGTCCAAAGTTGGACACAGGAGCCTTCTCCAGCACCGCAGCTCAAGCGAGTCAATTTTCTTCCCAGTCTTGCTTTTTTTAAAGGTCCAATAACTGATGACAACTTAGAAAATAACTAGCTCAGAGAGCACCAAGGGCCTCTTACGCGGAGATAGCTTTCCTTTTTGCTCATTAGTAAAAGTAGGGTAGATAAGCTTTCATTAAAGAGCCCCAAATACGGGTTTTGTGTAGCGAGCAGAGGAGACGTGTTTCCCTTCGCACTGAAAAGACACACATGGTTATTCCTGGTGACAGTCTAAAAATTGTCTCTCAAGTCCTAGTGATGCAATTCCATGACTCTTGCTTCTTTGCAATCTTTCATTCGCCGTAATTTTCAGGCCAAGAAACAAATAAAGATAACAAGGGCTACGGATGATAACCGCACTCAAAATGCTGACATCATCTTTACTTTCTTAATCTTAAGTTAAAAACACAATTTCTTCCCGTACTTTCGTGGTAAAGCCAAATACAGATTGTTTACTGACATAAAACATTAGTGAGCACATTCCTGTTTCCACTCCTCTACCGGACTGCCCTGGAAAACTCCCATTTGTTGTCCTTTTGAGTTGAAATGTGTAGGCTGTGTCTTCTACACAGAGTACAGTTAGTACAACCACAGCTGAGCCCCAAATTCCTGTTGTTAAACTACTCCTTACGGACAGCTGGTCATTTGATTTGCGTTAAGGCCACTTAGAGGTTTATCTGTGTCCTCAGGGAGTCAACAAAAGACAGAGGGGTCAAAGAGGCCATCTGTGTCAAAACTGAACAGCCTTCTCTCAACAGAGGGGAAGATATATGACATCATCTATTTCCATCTACAACACAGTATTTACAGCAATTTCAAAGAAGGCCCCACACACATTTGCACCACTCATGTGACCCTGAGGACACAGATAAAACCTCCAGGTGGCCTCAATGACTCTCTAAAAAGGAGGCAAATAACCAGCTGTCTGCAAAGGAGTATACATCCTTCTCTTCCCCACCATCCAGAGCTGAAGAAGCTTCTTGGATGAGAAGCGAAATGTCTTCAAAGAAAAAGCAGAAAGTCCAGGTGTCTCTTGAAAAAAGCACCTTTGGGACAGTCATAAGTCACTTTTTTTCAGTGCTGTTGTAAATTTGAACAGTTATGAAACCAATGGTTTTAAGCCAAGGACGACCTGGTAAATATGGGCTACTCTTGCAAAGCAGCATTTCTCAACCTTTCTGGACTGGCGGGCCCAGCGCAGGAGGCAGAGCGGAGGGGGGTGGCGGGAGAGGGTGTGGTTTCACGTGAGGGCATTTACGTGCACGCACGGGTACGCACAGCTTCATTTATGTGAGCAGCGGGCACACGCGCATACTCATGCGAGCGGGGCTGCAAGCGCTGGGGCCTGCCGCTTGGGTGGGGGGGTGCGTTTTATGTACGGCCCGGTTGCGAATAGGCCACAGACCCAAGTAGTGGGCTGCGGCCCATAGGTTGTGGACCCCTGTTGTAAAGGAGTTCCTTTCTTCTTATAGGTGAGGGAATCACGTTTGTTTTTCCTGGTCCAATTGTGCCTCGCTGGATGCGACTCAACCGTTCCCATACCACTTTCTTCTCCTACCTCTTGTCGACTAAAAAATACTTCTTTGGTCTTTTTAGTTGCCAGCAGAGAGTGGGGGACAGCAGAGCATTCCTTAAATGCTTCGGATAACTGCTAGGCAGCTGAAGTTGTTGGTGTGCAAGATTATTACTGGGGAGCCTGATTGATGACCCTTGGCTATGGACGTGTCCCGTTAGAGAATATACATCCAGGAGGTGGGGAGGAAGATCAGGGTCAAGGGGGAATTGAATGATGTGTCTTGCTGTCAGCTGCACCCGGGTAACGACCACATGGCCACTCCTAATAAAACCTTTTTTTTTTTTTCACTCTGAGAGATGCGGCTAGAGACTTATGATTTGAATGGGTGGTGGATTTGTCAGAGTCCTGACAACCTCCTTGAAAACACTTTTATTACTTGTTTTATTGTGTTTCCCTGAAAATAAGACCCTGTCTTTTTTTTGGGGGGGGGGGGACCAAAAAACAGGCACCAGGTCTTATTTTCTGGGGATGTCATCTACTGACTAATCTCACTTTTGCGCTCATTGTCCCACCCTCCTTTTCGCTGTCAGGGGCCTTCAGGAACTTCTTCTTCTGCGGCTGGCAAGGCTTTCCTGAAGGCCTCTGCAGCCGATAACAGCTCTGGATCGATCCAGAGCTTTGTTATCAGCTCCACAGGCCTTGAGGAAAGTTTTGCCGGCTGCTGAAGAAATGGGCCGGCAAGGCAGGTGTCGGGGTGTGTGAGGCCTGGCTACAACTGTCCAAAGGTAAGTAGTAAGGCAGCTCCACCCCGACTCCTCATCCCCACCCTAGCTTAAATGTATACCCGCGCACTCTGGAATGGGCAGGATCTTAATCAGGGCTTATTTTGGGGGGTAGGGCTTATATTGGGCACACATGTAAAAATCAGGCTAGGGCTTACTTTCAGGGTAGGTCGTATTTTGGGAGGAACAAGGTAGTTTATCCCGCTTTTGTTTGTTTATTATTTTAAACAGCTGAAGGTGGCAAACGTATCTAATATACCTTCCTCCTATTTTCCCCACAAAAAGCAACCCTGTGAGGTGAGTTGCGCAAAGACAGAGTCCAAAGTCACCCAGTCGACTTGTAAATCTAAGACGGGACTAAAATTCGCAGTCTCCTGATGACTGGCCCAAAGTCACCCAGATGGATTTCATGGCTAAGGTGGGACTAGAAGTCACAATCTCTGAGTTTCTAGCCTGGTGTCTCAACTACACCAAATTGGCTTTTGGGGATTAGAAGGAAAAGGGGATTTTTGTAATCCCTCCTTAATTTTTTGGGAACAGAAACAAAGAAACGTATGAGTTAATGGCATGGGAGAGAAATCCATCCCAGTCTGCTGTACTGATCCCTAGATCTTAGATGCAAAATAGATATTTATTTTTTTTTAGCTTTACACTATGTTGTTATATCTAGATGCTCCGCTTGTAACTTACTTTGGCCGTGTCATGTGGGAAAATTCCTTGGAGAAAGCAATTACGTTTCGAAGAGATAGCAGTAAAAGGAACCCAGGCCGCCAAAGAACACAGTGGCTGGACATCATCAAAGCTGACACTAGCTGGAGCATAATAAAACAACCCAAAGAAGTGGTGCAAGATTGGAAGATGTGGAGGGACCTTGGACCTCAGAATTGCCAAACGTTGGACATGGCTGAATGGATAACGACTTCATCATCACCATCTACACCCTATTTCCAAATTTAAGGATAGTATCCCATCATTTTAGGGGAATTTGAGGGAAAAATAACTGTACTTATGCTATTTCAAAACAGCCTTTCAAAGGCCATTTCATTTTAAATTCAAATAAAGGGATAACGCAGAAACAGGAAATTAGGGATAAGGAAGGATATTTTCCACATCCAATATACAGCAGAGGAATTCAAGACTGGACAGAGAGATAAAAAAACAGATTCCTAATTGTGGACATAATGTGCAGTGAAAATCTACAGACCTCATGGGTTCATAACATTTGCAAAGTTCAACTCATTCCGTCTTTAATATTTGTTAGCCTATCTTTACAGAAGATATAAAGATATGTCTTATTTTCTTCCTATGATGGCCTGACATAGGTACGGTCATTCTCAACAGTTCACTTAAGTGATCATTCGAAGTCACAATGGCACTGAAAAAAAGTGTTTTTCACGCTTACAACCGCTTCAGCATCCCTGTGGTTATGTGATCAAAATTCAGAAGCTTGGCAGCTGATATATATATTTAGGAAGGTTGTGGTGTCCCAGGCTCACATGATCCCCTTTTTGCGACCTTCTGACAAGCTGAATCAATGGCAGGAAAGGTCATAAAATGGAGCAAAGCTCACTTAACCAATGTCTCACTTAGCAACAGAAAGGCTGGACAAAATTGTGGTCGTAAGTCGAGGACTATCCATATTTTGCACTTCTATAGTTCTAGGTTTTGGATTTGTTTTGCCACCAGAGTGTAGCTGTTGGTTGCAATCCCTTGGGGAGGGGCAGTGTCCTGTCACTCCTACCACATAAACCATAACAGCACCAGATTTATAGCACTTAGATTTATATACCGCTTCACAGTTCTTTACAGCCCTCTCTAAGCAGTTTATAGTCAGCCTATGCACCCCCCACCAACAATCTGGGTCCTCATTTGACCCACCTCGGAAGGAGGGAAGGCTGAGCCAACCTTGAGCCTGGTGAGATTTGAACTGCCAAACTGCAGGCAGCCGGCAGTCGGCAGAAGTAGTCTGCAGTACTGCCCTCTAACCACTGCGCCACTGAGGTCAGGTCCTAACAGAATACGGACATAGTTCTGCACCTTATTTCGTTGTTCTCAGGTTTTTGAGTACAATGACAATAAATTTATCTATCTATCTATCTATCTATCTATCTATCTATCTATCTATCTATCTATCTATCTATCCATCCCTATCTATCTATCTATCTATCTATCTATCTATCTATCTATCTATCTA